GTAATCAGCAGTAGAACATAGGTTGGTTTCAACAAAAACACCAGTTACCATAGTAGTAACACTATAGTTATTCTTATTTTATTCTTATCTTACCTTAAGTGTCATGAATAGGAATCAATTAAACACAAAAATGTATTTTTATCATATTTGATATTTCTTCTTTCAAATTGCTCTTAACATGTCCACTTCAATATACAAAATTATATACAAAATCTAGTCATAAGGAATTATAACATGATTACGCCACCAGTCACTAGAACAGCACAGACACTCAAAAATTGCATATTATTTGCAGAAAATTAATTCCTTATCAAAAAATTTTTTTAGACCAATTAGGTGAAATAGGATGATTTTCTACGGCACACCTGACCATCACTCACACTACACACTAGTGTACCGAGGCACAGTGGTTGAAAAACACTGCATTAGCAGATCGTCCCCCAGCCACTCTCGTTGAAAAACATAAAAGATGTCTATAGACGTCTTTGGCAGCCAGTGAGTTAATATTAAAAATGTCTCCTTCTCCCCGGCAGTCCATCAGCAGCCTGCAGCAGCAGGCCGAGGGCCTCTGCCAGGTCCTCAGCTCCGAGCCCAGCCCGGCCTCCGCCCAGATCCACAGGGAGGTGTTCGGCCAATCAGACGCCCCCGCCGCAGCCACCAGGAGCAGGCGGCCAATCAAGAGAGCCGTGGAGGAGGCGGCGGCCGCGGAGGGATACAAGAAAGCTGCTCCGGAGAGGAGGAGCTGCACCTGATCGTTTCTTCACAGGAGGCAGTTTGTCCAGATGAGGACGCTTTAAATGGATTTTGTTTTGGACGTGAGTCAATAATCTGTTTAGATTCTGCAGAATCCACAACGTTCAGCCTGAGAGAGCCTCAGAAAAGCCAAACTCAAGACCCAGTGAGGGAAATCTGAGGATTTACTCCTGGTTTTAAGTCTGTTGGAGGGCAGGTTTCCACTGAAACCGTCTCAGTCTTGCGGATGTAAAAAAAAATGATTATTGTAATATCGTTTTGTGATTCATATCTGTACCCCCACACGTTTAGTTTGTTCTTCCTCTCGGCTGGAAGTTAATTACTGTTGTACTCTAATAAAAAAGATAAAGGCAAAAGTAAGTTTGTGCATTCCTTCTGGTTACATCCGCCCCAGTGAGAGGAATTTTATCATTTTTTACACTAAACATTAGTAGCATATGATAGCAAATGTGTTTTTATCTTAAATAACAGTCGAACTAATAAATAGATAGATAGATAGATAGATAGATAGATAGATAGATAGATAGATAGATAGATAGATAGAT